CAGCAACGCCAACGCAAAAAACAATGCCAAGAAACCGACAGGACAAAATCATGCGAGAGAGGGACCTGCACATGCAACTTCGCAGCCGCTTCATCGTCCGGCTCTTTGGGATGCAGGGGGCCTGGGCTAAAGCGCGCCTTGTTTCCTTTTTGCTACAGGACCTGCGGAAGTGTCTCGTGTTTCGTCCTGAGGTTTGATTCGGACACGGCCGTCAATTTCGTGCTAGAGCAGGAAGCCTTATTAAATCCCTAAACCATGAAAGATAAACCCATGCCGCAACTCTCTCCGAGGCCCGCCCTTGGCGGAGATCTTTGGGGGTTGTACAGGCGGCACAAGGCCCCGCTCGAGTAGTGTGCACCATGTTTAAAGGCAAGCTCCTGGTCATCTGCTTGGACAGATGCTGTACGGCTCAGATGCACATGCAAAATTCTACTCCGCAAACGTGGTGCGAAGCTTAAGAATTCAGCTACGCTGCCTGGCTCCAGCGCGTGAAGGCAACGCAATGAAACAACAGTGCGCCTTTGCTTCGGCTAGTTTGGCTTAGGTCTGCGCGCTGGAGTTTCTGCACGGGAGGGATATCATACACAGGCCATGTCGCTCCAAAAGCAGCTCTTGATGTGCCATTTTCTGCTTCTGGTTCGTTGTGCGTCGCCAGGGATATCAAACCTGAGAACCTGGTCCTTGACACGAAAGGTTTCGTGAAGGCCTGGTCTGGGTTTGAAAAACCTATGAATCCCCAAGCCCAACTGAGCTTTCGGGGAAGCCGCAGTTCTAGAACCACCCATGCCCTCTAATTGCCTGGGTTGGGTTGCGCTGTCCCCCGTGGTGGCAAGCGGCAAGTCTTGCAGCCTTGAGGCCAGCTCCTGATGTATGCTGACATTTGTTACTAACCCCACTGCTGTTCCTGTCCCCATATCAAGTGGTCTTGATTACTGATGTGGCCAGTGGAGGTGAGCGCACGCAATAATGTACCGGCGCTCCATGTCGGGTGTTGTTCTCATGGTACTCACCACGGTTTCAGCACTTCAAGAGTGGCTTTCTGGCACGCCGTTGCGCCTCAAATTTTGCTCGGAAAGCTCACCTCAGGCTGGGCGGAGTAATGGAAACTGCGTGTCGGGACTTGGAAGCGTCATGCTGGGAAGCGTCATGCTGGGAGCGCGGCTCCGACACCAGGAGGCAGCTGCAGCCTTATAGTTTGTGGAGAGATAAGATTATGATGTTATGGGGGGATAATAAATGGTGCCAATAATTTGTAATCTAATCTAGACTTCGAATGAGGCCATTAATTCGCCCTACATAATGAGGCCCAGAGGATCCCGTGTTAAACCCTTCCGAGAGTTTAAACTAAAGCGGCCCATCTCACTTGTATTCTCTCAGAGTTTCTCCTCACACTGTTGGAACTTTTCGTTGGTATGCTGCGGTGTGCTCTCACAAGCAGTGTATCTGTTTGCGCCCGTGAAACCTATCCGAACCCCGAAGGCCCTTTTCCCATGGCCTGAAGCTTTAAATCCCCACCTTGAGCAAAAGCAGGGACACCCCGAAAAGAGCCAAGCCACAGCACCGCTTACCGTCAGCAGCGTAGCTATCCTTCGACGCTGGTGGATGGAAGTTGTAGGGCTTTTGGTTTCGGGTTCAAGGATTTTTGTCACTCACCGCCACGACAGCTACCACCCCACGTTATCCCGATGGACGAGGAGTCTCCGTCGGCTTCAAAACAATGCTGCTCAGGCCCCGCTGGTAGGACGCCCCTAAGACTTCAAGTAGGGCCCGACCTTTGTTGCGACCATACCTCAGAAGCCGGTTTTCAAGGGTCCTTGTCTAGGGTTGATTAGTAGGGGCCTGTAAAAAATGGTCTATTGCTCTATGACAGCTATTATTAATGCGTGTACATGAACAAGAGTGCATGTGCAGCATGTACTAAACTTGTACATACCAGCAGCTGTTTAGGACCATCGTAGCGAGGTATGTTCTAGCATTCTGTACAAACGTAATACCAACATTTTCAGTCTTTAATCGCAGTGTACCAGTAGTGACATTGCATCTTTTTCTTGTTTTTTCTTTGGTGTTGGTCCTTCCTTGTTGGTTTGACTTGTAGCAGTCGCCTCTCGCGCCATAGTAAAAAGGTGTTAAAGGGCTCTTCCGTACCGCCCAGTTAAGCGCCCCACTTGTGTGCAACCCGAGTGTCAGCAGGTGATGAGCCTAATTGCAGGCACGCATTGCGTTTCTCCTCAGCAAGGTGGTATGGCAACTCATCCCGTAGGCCGGGAAGGTCCACCACAGCCAATGGTAAGCCCTCAGGGTAGTTACTTCTGGCGGAGGTCCTGGACAACCGTGTTCGCAAGTTAATGCGCCTCCAGCACGGTCATACGCTGATCTTCCCAGTATGGGAGTCAGCAATCCGTGCGACTTTAGGCACGAAGAGCGTGACACAGTAAGTCATGGTCTTGTGAATCGTAGCGGTACTCCAGGCATGGGTGTTCCTTTGGCGGAGGGCACTCGAACAGCTCCTGTTGGGTACGTGCTACCTGCCGATTACGGCATCACAGGTGTAGTCAGGTCTGTTGAAGGGGACGCCCAGATCCGACAAGGCTGCACAGGTAACGTTTTATCGCCACCCGTAGTTGGTGGTATTCCATTCCAGCGGGAGGTCCACATCGTCAGGTGCAGCAACCGGGAATGTTGCGCAGTTCTCCGGATGCGATGCTAGTGGAAGCTCTGGTTGGAGTGAGCGGGAAGTTTTGCTCAACCATCTTCGTCATGTGTCAAACAGGCCTGGACCCCCTCTTCTCGAGATTCTTGCAGGTTCAAATTTTGAGGATGATGGGTGGATTTCAGTGTTACGTCACCTTGTGTCACCTATCGGTAATGAAGCTTATGGCCAGGCTTCAGCACCGTGCATGGTAGGTGCGCAGTGTCAGTCCGGTCGTAATACCGACAGTTGGTTAACGGGTTAAGCGGCATGTGCACGCAGCACCCGGGGGCATGTCAGTGCGGGGTGGGAAATCCCGTTGGTAGTAGGTGTTCTGCAGGTAATGCCGGCCCTAGTTGCCTCGGTAATCCCGGTTGTGCCTCACGCCCCGTTATGACTGTTGATGGTCATAGTGCAGACTCTGGCGGAGTCTTGCCTGAAAGTATTATGGTGAGTGGTAGTAATATGCCCCATCCTACGGGTTCAGCTAGGGCGGGTGATGCCTTGGGTGATAGGGGTTTCGAGGTAACGGCCTCTATTCAGTCGGGTACGCCTATCCATGCCCTGCGCCCGTCGACCGTTGATGGTCTTGCGAGCTTTGGAGGAGCTCTGCATCGTTCCCTTACAGGACCCTGTGCCAACTGGCCGCGGGCCACTCAGCCTGAAATGATTGGTGTGAATAATCCCGACGGTGCTGGTATGTTTTTACTGATCAGGTAGTAGGGGGTGTAAGCCAAAGAGGTAGTCGTGGAGGCTATCCGGCTGAGTACCGCCCGATGACTGCAGAAGAACATCGCTTGTGGAATCTTAAACTACGAGCCGATATGGTTGAAAGAGCGGCTTCGAAGGCGATGAACTCGCAGCAGCAAAAGTTGGTTGAGTATGAAAGACAAATCCAGGTACTACAGGCAGCCCTTGGAGTACAGAGAGAAGCCGAAGCGGCTGGAGACCGCAGGATAGAAGAAGCCCCTGCCACTCCATCATCAAGGGTGAACGCCAGTTCTTCAGCCAATGTCCAGCCTTCCTCTCCGCCTGGCCTGCCTAGTGAGAACTCTCGGCGCACGAATTATCCCTCATCCCTGTGTTCAATGGAGGTGCAAGCTACCCCTACGCCTCGAGTGCCTTCTGCATCCTCAGTGATATTACCCTCAGGTCCTGTAGCCCTTTCACAAGACGAGGGTAATCAAAGCGGTGCAGAAAAGGGACAGTCTGTTCCATCGGTGAAAAGGGAAGTCCAAGTACTGTCTGGGGATAGCCAACAGACCATTGGTCAAGAGGGTAATATGCCTGATCCAGTTAGCGCAACAGCTGACTCGTCCAGTATTGTCAAGGAGCAAGCAGGCAATTCCTCAGAAAGGATCCCAGCAGATCTACAGGCCTCCGATATCACAACTCCAACGGACACCAACTCTGTGTCCAAAACTAGACCCGATGCTACGCCTTATGCAGAACAGCCTGAAACAGGGAAGCTACATCGGTGCTTTCTGAGTTATCACCACGTCAAAGGTTGTTAAGGCCAGAGCATCGAAAAGCCTTACCGGAGTTCGATGAAATAGAAGAGCGATTTGAGGAGACATCCTTAAACCGGATTACAAAAAGCATGACTCTTCTATACGTCGAAGGTCATACCCTGTTTCAGCGGGCTAGAAGTTTGGACATGGATGCCGAGATTCTTGCCAGACAAGCAGCTGGGTACTGTCTAACCATCCATAGCTGATGAAACCCAGCTCTGGCTACTCAGCCGGGAAACACCAAGACAATCTTCAACACTTTCTACAGAAAGCTCTAGCTGCTGCACAATCACAGACACAGAACAAATGCGTCACAGCAGTCATGCGCATCAGCTTCTCTTCTGCAATCACATACCAGGCGATGGTGCATGTGACAATGACTGGGGAAGAGGAAGAGTCAGATCAGGGTGAGAAGCATTTCCGGCTAAGGCAAAAATGGGAAGGTCCAAAACGGCAGCTTATAATGGGATGGAGTCAGCATAGAGGTACAATCAACATGTCTGTTGAACGAGGGAAGATGAAGAGGAGATGAAAAGGAAATGAAGTGGAGATGAAGAGAAGATGGAGGGGAGATAATGAGGTTGAAAGGTGAGAGATATGGGAAAAGAGGAGGGAGGAGAAGGATCATGATCATGTTGAAGCTTTCAAGGCAGCCTGCCATAGCATTGATGAAACAAGCAGAGTGCATGTGCTGGCTGATCAGGGTTTTCTGCAGCGCCAACGAACACTGTTTCAGCTGCTCTAACTTGCAAGAGAGCCATAGCATCAAAACTGCACTTCAGCCACAACTCGAGCTGAACTCACTGAGAGTCTTCGAATTTCTCGAATGTGCTTACACGCTGGAAGCTAACATGCTCTGGACCAAACTTCTTCTGCTTCAGAGCGCAATGCCCCAACGCATACCACATGAATGCCATCTGCGTCCGCAGATGCATGCTGTTGCCCGCTAGCATCTTCACCTGCTGGGGCGTCAACTCCAGCTTTGAAATCACATCTCTCATTTTGCACACGGGGAACACATCTGACTCCCCATACATTCTCCAACCGAGTGCCCCCATATGCTCCAGCGATGTGGCCATCTTCCACGTTGTTTGGCCATCTTCATCTCTCTTGAAAGCAATGATGGAGCCATGTGTGAGCTGAGTTGGCCACACTTCTCCTTCGGCGGGACCTCAGTGATTTGGCGGGCACTAGCTGTCAGCAATTAACAACTTGCTAAAAGCAATTCAACAACGATCAATCATCAGCCGCCCACCTTTTGTTGATGGGTTATGGTCCACATCACAGAGAAAAGCCCTCGGCTTGCGAGCATCAGGCTTGGCAATCTTCGCTTCAAACACCTGTTGCCAGTCACGCAGACGACGCACTCCGCCTGCCGGCAGAACCAAACTGGAAAGCTTCTGCAAGTTGCCGCTGCGCACTATCTCAGACATCTCAGATATCTGAACATTGTTCTTACGTGCATGCGCCAGGGCTGTCATCTCCTCAACACGCTCCTCATCGGGGGCAAGCATCAGCATTTCACCTGACACGACCGTCTGTCGATGGAAACGTTCACTGTAATCTTTCTGGAGATCCAGAAGGCTGGTTGGCCCCAGCCAGTCCACAGTCGCCTTGTTGACCACTACAGCCAAGACTCTAGTCCTGCGGTGTGGCCAGCCATGAAATTCTGGTCCATCATTCCAAGAGAACACGTGAGCCAGGCTGCCAAACGCCTGCTCCAGACGCTCTTGCGCTGGAAACCGCGGAGTACACTCCACAAACGCAAGGTCTTCAGCATGGAGTTCAAACATCCGCACACGTTCCGCAAGCCATACTGCAAGCGGCACTTCGCTATCATGAGAAGCACCGGCATTGCTGCCCTCCGCGCTCCACGCATGGCAGGTGACTCCTGCCGCATTCAATCTAAGTCGGCTGAAGCCCACCTCCTTTTCATTCTGCTCAAACTTCTTGTGAACCCTGCACTGCCTCACAGAGTCAGGGCATGCAAGGACAGGAGAGCAACCAAAGAATGTCGCATGACACGGAGTATTAGATGGATGCTGGATTGCTCATACTTCCACAGCTGACTTGATTACTGGATGGGCCACTGCCCTTGAAATGAAGCTGCATGGCTACATGCTGCAGTGTTTCGTATTCACCTATAAACCCCTTGCCTGGCCTCTGACGCACGCAGCAAAAGCTTTCAGCATCTAGGCTGAACAACATGCCGCGATTGTCCATGACTGCAAACTTTCGACACTCGCACTTGAGCCAAAACACCTTGTTGAAGTCTCATGCTTCAGTCTGACTTTGCAACTACAGTTGCACAGCAAAACAACTCCATGTGTTTACATGAAATTGGGATGTTACATGTGGGGATACATTTTGCA